CTATGTTATTACTACTTTAGTGCCAATTTGGCGACAGCTATTGTTCCCTAAAACAGTAATGCCAAATGACATAACAATGAAAATAACAATTTTCATTACCTAAACATACCATAGAAAATGTCTATATCTACTAGCTTATGAACGAACAAACAACACATCAATTATGACATTTTAAATTTACATTTCTTCAAGCATAATTTTTTTTAAAAAGCTTACGTTTTCATGCCAGTGTGATTTGAGTATAAAAAGTTATTATAATATATAAAAAGTATAAATTTAAATAAAGAAATGGACACTTGTATTCAATTTGTTTTTAAGTCATAACTCTTAATGATTTATGAGTCGCCAGTTATTGAAAAAAAAATAACAATAAATCTTTCTTTAATTGTACTTGTCCGAGTATCGGCACAAATATGGGTGTTCGGGGCCCTTACTGGTAAGGCTAATCATGCGAGTCGTGTGCGGAAGGTTGAGGTGAACCGCACGCCATCTGTCAGGGCAACCTTTGCACAAACTTTGACCATGCCTTCAACTCTGATACTATTTTACACGATAAATTCAATTTGACTCACAATTTTTTTTATTACAAGCATCTAGATAACTTCTATTTTTTATCTATATTAATACATTGGGTGATATCTAGCAGTACCAAAGTTTTGTTAGGCACAGAATTTGTTGTACATCCCTTCCCTTATTTATATGGTTTCCAATATTATAGTGTTAGATATCGTATTTAATATTCGCTTTAATCATATCATAAAACTGTATTTATAATTTCATAATGCTATTAAACAAATAAAATAGTAAGCAAGAAAAAAACATCACAAATGAGTGGAAGAATTCTTCCGATAGACCACGTATTGTGCAAGAACAATGCGTTGCTAATTTTCGTTATCGCATGTAACAACTGCATTGTATTTATTCCAGTACATACAAGAATTACATAAATACGACATATGACATACTTATGCACATATACTTACGTCCCCTGCATATCTGATGATTCAATAACCAGTCTTTTTATCTTGTTAAACACAGATTATTTAAAGAAGTTTTGTCTTACAGTATGTAATTTTAATCTTTAGGGTGGTTTAATCTACCGCATTGGTGTAACCTTAACCAGTCGCTTAAGTTAGATTTGAAACAAGAAATCTACTCTATAATCTGGGATTCTATAAGTGAACAATTAACAACTTTGAGTGCGACAGTAAGACTACATTTATTTTTGTGACTTCGTCAACATAGAATTGGAAAAAAGCCTAAATTACTCTCGCACACATAAGATACCTTCCAGTGAAAATCCCGTCAAAATCAGTATAACCGTTTCGGAGATTTCAGGGAACAAACAAAGATTTGCCGACGGACAGACAAAAAATCCACAAATTGTTTATTTATAGGCATAAACGAAATATTTTTTTTCTATTTTACATACACAATTTTGTTAATTGTTTAGATTTATATTTATATTCATGTTACTTTGTAAATATGACAATAAGACATTAATAAACATGTGAACCAATTCCTTCACAATTGTCTTGTTGAGCATAATTTATGCGAAGCTAAACATGGTGCGGTTTTTTTGCAAAGTCAAAGTATAACTATTATTAATAGACGACTATATATTAAAGTAAATATTAATTTTAATTTATATATAATAATATGTATAAAAGAATATTGTGTTAGTTACACTATTTATAACTCAAGAACGGCTTTATCGATATGGTTGAAAATTGGTGAGGAGGTAGCTTAGAGCCAGGAGACGGACATAGGATACTATTTTTATTTTCGAATTTATGCCTTGAAGAGTTGCTTTCTATTTAACTTACTAATATTATAAATGGGAATGTTTAGATGTATGTGATGTGGTTGAATGGATGGGTGGGCTACACTAATTAAGTTTTTTATATATCTAAACCAACGGAGTCGCGGGCGACAGCTAGGTTAATATAAATAGATTTGTTACTTTAGGTATTCCGCAATCTTGAATACATTTACCATAAATTATTTAAATAACTTTGAAAACTCGACGTAAACACCATCCTTCGAAACAAAGTAAGCAACAAACAAAAATATTTACACGCTTAATCTCCCTAAGTGGCTTCTTTACACTGGTGTATGCAAATAACCGCTCAATGATCATTACGTAAGCTACCAATTTGGCTTGTACGATTCTATATGTAAAGAGGCTTGTTGCCCTGTGTACAGCTTTGCCCACGCGCCTCGGCTGACATCATGCGACCTACTGCTCCGTTTGCCTTCGACACTTATACGACGTCTAAACTTGAACATGAAAAAAATAGAACCTTGGTCGCATTTATATAGAGTTATTATGTCATAAACAAGATATCACTCAGATTGGACAGTCCTAATTTGACGTATTGCACTAGACAGTAATTGTATAATTCTGTACATATCTACAATTAAAAAAAAAGTTTTGTCGACTGAATAAAAAGCTAAAGTTATTATGAATAAACTAGATTTTTTTTTTATTTTTAGTTTATTAAATGTTATTTTGTGCGCTATATCATTTCGAACATAATAAAGTGATCGTAGAAGTTGAACAAAAAATGTTTTTTTATATCGTACAAGGTTCAAAGACCTACGTGAACATTTACGACGCGTATCATTGTGTTGAAGTCACTATAGCTCGGAGCACGCTATTGTTCTACACAAAACTTTATCTGGTATTCGATCCAATAAGTTTTCCCATTAAACTTTAATATCCCATAACGTACGGTTGTCTTTGAAAATGTTTTCGTGGTATAAATCGTTTTGCACGAAATTGACAGACACAATAAATTACTTTGTTAGTTTTATAAATGAACTCATGATTGTATCCAGTTGATTAGGTAGAAATCTTTTGTTTCTTCCATACAAGCTTTTTTTATTCAGTAAAGTTTAAAATACTCTTTAAGAAAAATAATATAATATGATATACGTTTTTCCAAACATGTTTCACGTTGTATTACTTATCTAAATTTAAAATTTCTTATGATGTTAATTACTAAAGTATCTCTGTTGATTTAGTACTAATTCACGTATTTTTGATTTTTAACTTGTGTTATATCACAACTAAAAGCGAACACTCTAATAAGACAACATTAAATTGTAGCGCTAAGTGAAAGTAAGCCTCTCTAAAGGCAAACTTGCTCATCAGGGTTCACTTTCTAAAGTTTTTAAAGTGTTAATTCAACTAGATAGTAATTGTATTTTACATGGTATAAACAATCATGTTTTTACTTATTTATTAACCAATGATTTGAGCTTTTGCTTTTAAATAAAAAGGTAAATTTTACTACCACTTTTTTGTAACCCTTAGGAACACATTGCATACGATTTGTAGTAAACCAATAAACTGATTTCGAAGTAAATTATCATGAGGTCTTTGTAAAGCGGAATGAACCTTGAAAGGGGGAATATCGCGTGGAGTATAGAAATATCGGGGTTCCATTGGCAGTTGTCACATGCAGCTCAGCTCTGTCAAGGACGAGAAAACAATTCCGATGTATTGACAGCGACACGACAGCCGCATAGTTGATAAGGGCGCGTTCACACTGACCTTTTGAAATATCACTTGCATAAAATGTGTTAATTTACTTAACAGTAAACAAACAGTATCCATAAAATATTCATGTAAACACAAATTTGAGGACTAAAAAATAATTGTTAATCAGAATTCTGTAAAACAATAACTACAGCTTTTAATTGCGATTTTAATAGTCTTTTAACTCTTTTGCAATGTATTTATTTTTTATTTTTAAGGATATCAGTTAGCATATTGAAAATGCATAGAAAAGTGATTACGTATTTTCATGTTTGCTTCAAAGCGTGAATAAATTGCCTTGAATATATCAAAGGCAACTGTATCACAATACAATTCTTTCAATTAATTTTAAAAACTTAAAATGAATAAAAAAAACGAATGTTTAACAAGAATATGCATTTAGCTTCGAAATCTTTTCTCTTAGTGCGGAAAAAGTCTTTGTTAGAATATAGTAGAGATAAAAGTTCTTTGTGAGCGAACCTTTATCAATGGCGGATGATGTCTGAAACGATTCGACAGGAATATCGCGACGGGCGCACACCACCCCATTTGTGACTGCAGATAGGTTTTACACGATCGATAAAAAAGCATTTCTGTATGGTGATTTCATTCAGACTGCTATTATTTTTAACACGCTATGATTGAAATCTACTGATTGCAATTAGTTTGCAAGTAAATTATTGTATATACGGTTTCTAAATTTTTATTTACGTCTTGCGTTGTCACAAAATTTTAATTTTAGATTTTTTGAATTTTTCAAAAATGTTATTAGAATAATTTTTTTGCCATTTGATATAGATTAACGTTAGGATGAAAAGATTTTTTCGTTAGCTGACTACATTTATAAACATAATATTCATCTGTAATAAAAGTTATATGTAGCATAGCGCCCCCTGGCGTCTAGTAGACGTACCAACATCTCAATCGCTCTTCGTTAATTAGACTCGGGCGTTTTCTCTCATGTTTCAATTAACTCAACACTCATTCAATTATATTATTATGTATCGTTAATTAATAACGGTCATATGGCTAAATGATAAGTGTATAAAAGATTATTGTCGCCCAGTTTCTTTGTTTTTATTATTTTGCTAGTTCTGGCTACGTAATGTTTGCATTGTTGCCAAAATGTTTATATTTCCGACGCTGAATGACATGTATTTTTAATATGCAACGTTTGATATACTTGTCGTGCGACCTTCTTTAACCTTGGCCCCTCGACAATTAGCGAGGGTCTGTTGACCTCGGCTCATCAAAACTAGTCAGTAACGATGTTACATATTCACACAAAAGCAACTAATGATACATATATTGTCAGAATTTTGTCTACTTAAATAATCATTTTTATAAACTAAAAATTAAAGATTGAAATATATTTGCACCCCTACAAAAGCCGATCATGGTCACTAAGAATGTCTGTTGTTGAATTGTCGACTAACGTGATGTTATTGTTGTTCAGGCACTAAGAAGATGGAGTACAAGACCCGGCAGTGGCACGAGAAGTGCTTCTGCTGTGTCGTGTGCAAGAACCCAATCGGCACTAAGAGCTTCATCCCGCGTGAGCAGGAGATCTACTGCGCTGGCTGCTACGAGGACAAGTTTGCCACACGCTGCGTCAAGTGCAACAAGGTGACTATCATTCTCTCTTAGCACGATTACGTACTTTTATCAAACCTGAAAATTGTCTTGACGACTATGGAACTCTAGTGAGATGATTTCGTTACCGCGGGTTAATTCGAGAACGGCGCCATCTAGTTTAACTTAATGTAATCGAGTAATGTATTTGTTTTGTTGGTCAGATAATAACTCAAGGCGGCGTGACATACAAGAACGAGCCGTGGCACCGCGAGTGCTTCACGTGCACGCACTGCGACACGTCGCTGGCGGGACAGCGCTTCACGTCGCGTGACGACAAGCCCTACTGCGCCGACTGCTTCGGCGAGCTCTTCGCCAAGCGCTGCACGTCATGCACCAAGCCCATTACTGGTACATGTTCATTACCTTACTAAAGCTGAGATGCTGCTTATTCGTAATAGCTACTTGATCAACATGAATAGACGGTTATTGTGAAGGAATGAAAGTAACTATGGAATAGGAATCTTAAATTTTGTTCTTAAAATCACAATACTATATTTTCAGGTATCGGCGGTACTCGCTTCATCTCGTTCGAGGACCGACACTGGCACAACGACTGCTTCATCTGCGCGCAGTGCAGCGCCTCGCTCGTCGGCAAGGGCTTCATCACTGACGGCCAGGACATCATCTGTCCCGAGTGCGCCAAGCAGAAGCTCATGTAAATACCGCACCTCGCCCCGCCCACCGCGCGCCACGCCCCGCACCGCCCCGCCCACTCGCACACACATACACACACTTTAAAGTATACTAATTTACGATAATAATAACATTGTACAAAGAAAACAACGAACAACAACACAAATTATAAATCAACGATTTTATTGCGATACGATCCGATCATGTGTGCGTGTCACTAACGCTTAACATCTCAACATTGAAGTGTTAAATCATCTGCATTGGCGGTAGATTGTAACCTAATAAATGTGATGCCTGGACCACGCAAGATCTGTAAAGGAATTAATATCTACCAAGATATATTATATCTTCATCTTGCCTATTTACAAGAGAATAAAATATTTTTAGATGTTTTTGGTAGAATTTACTAGCTTTAGCCTCGCCTCACGTGGACTCGCGGGCTTACAGCTTGGTGTGTTCCCGCTAAATGTATGAAATGCTCACGATGTTCTTGTTCACATTTGCTTGTGCAGCGACAAAACGATCCTACCGTTAGTCGCTAAAGCGCGGGAGTGGTGCGCGTTCCGAGAGCAGGGCACCGCGGGCGAGACCCTGCCCGACCTTGTCGACAAAACCAATTTCAGAAAGGTCATCCCTAAATAACATCTGACCGATATTTTTATAAAGAAAAAAAAAGAAAATGACAAAAAAATGTGGATGCACAAATAAAGTATTTAATTTCGCTTCATATTACAGAATTTTTATTTAAGTTGTTTATATATATTGTTTGTTTTTAACTGTTGTTACTAATTACGATACATCCACGCAGCCCATACTTATGTAATTAGTTACGATCGCTAATCGCTGCGTTACACCGCTTCGGCTGTCTTAGACCTTCAGATTATTCTGTTATATTGTCAATTCGTCTAGTGCAATTCACACGTTGCCTTAATAACATATCTAAGTCAATTTGAAGAATATATGTATTTTATTTAGTGTTCATTGTCATGTTTGAAGATTAACGCGAGCCGTGTACCGACCCGCGGTATATTTTCATATTTATTGCCAGAGTACTCGCGACTCCGGCGAGCTATTTCATCGATATATTGCATAACATTGTATAAGTGTAAGAAATTTAAAAAATAGTAAGTGTTAAGTATTTATTTTTATGAGAAGGCACTTATTACGCTGAGGGGAGGTAGAGGGGGGCCGCCGAGGTTGCCATGTCGCGATGTCGCGCAGTAGTAAAGTTGCCATACGCCCGGCGGCCGGAGCTTCCTAACACTTAAATAAGCGACTTACGTCGACTAGTTGCTACTAATAAAATATTAAAATTATTTTTCGTTGTCAAACAGGACTTTGTTACGATAATTGAGATGTTATCGATATTTTTACATTATATTTTCTAGTGTTAGAGATAAGTAACATCAGAGTTTCGAGACGACCACGACATGTTTGGGGATCACTTTATAAGGGTTAATTGTTAAGGGTTAAATTATTCAGATGTTGAAAGTATATTTATAATAAATGTGTACACATATAAACAAACCGCTTACCTGTGTGATCTGATCTAATTAATCTTTGTATAATCTGTACCCGTACGTCATTGTATAAACTATCAAATTTAAATAAAACTATTAAAAAGTAACTTAATTGTGAGTTCTTATTATTTCAAACCCCCCCCCCCCCAACAAACCCCTATAATAATAACAGGTTTAGTATAAATGTTAATAATCATCTTCAATCATTCTTAATAGGATAGACGCCATCTTACTAATATTAAAAATACGAATGTTTGGATGGATGGATAGATGTTTGTTTGAAGGTTGAAGGCTGAAGGGATTTTGATAAAATTTGGCACACACGTAATATACTCTGGTACACATACCGGCTACTAATTATGTTTTTTTTATTCCGCGTGGATGGTGTCGCGGGCAACAGCTAGTAGGTAAATAAATAATAAAAAAATCACTTCATACATGTTTTACTCTTAACATATAATATATCTAGAGATACCATTTTACTATGTTCTATCATAAAGCCACACACGAAAATTAATTATATTTTCAAACTGCTATACAAATTTTTCATAAAATACAATTTACCACAGTTACAATTAATATTAATAAATACATTCAGAAGATTTAAGTAAAGCTTAAAATATTCCTTAATACTATCCTTCATTATAGGGTATTGCATATGAAATTCAAACATTATTAGAAGTTACCAATTTTACTGAAATTTTATCGTTTTTCGATTGTTATTTAAATTAATTATTAAATAAATACACTATGTATTTATAAACTTTAAATGTGTCATTTTGTTTCTAACAAGCAAAAGATCACCTACATCACGACCTAATAAATATCATATCTAATCTGTGGCAACTTTTTACTCTTTAAAAATATTTTGATTTTAAAGACATCGTTATATATACTACAAATAAAAATGTTCACAATTCGTCGCCATTATAAGTACACTTGCTAAAAAAAAGCCAAGAGCAAATAATGCTTCCTTAACTAAGGCAAAGTTTATCTTATGAAGCAAAAGATTTTTTTTAAATGGCAATATTTTTTCTTTGGTCTTCCCTAAAATCGATTATGTTGCCTTCTCTTTCAAAAAATCATTTGAATTAATTTTGACAGTTATTTACATACTACAAGTTCAGTTGACATTTCGCAAAATTAAAACGATAACTGTACATTTAGAATTAAACTGATTTATAAACACTCACGTATATTTGTCCGGTGGCGGCACCGACTAGTTTCGATCCCATCGGGGGCCCATCATCAGGATGAGTGGTACTGGTATTATTTCGCGGACGCGGCCCTCAGCTCACTGAGCGTTTATATATCTGTTTATATATCAGTTTAGTATAATGTCTCACGAAAGTTTGAATACATTTAGAATTGTTATCATTTTCATAATAATGCTACTGAAACTAGGGCATGGTAACTAATATTCCTAAATTTAGCAAACTTAAATACATATTTAATCTTATATTAATTAAAAATAACTGAGAACACATTTATAATATTATTTGAACATGTTCGATAGAGAGATAAATTATTAAAAAATATTACATTATCTACATAAGTATATATAGTTTTTTTTAACTGAAAAGTTATATAACTATAGAATTGTCTCTTACCTATAGGTATAAATATCTACAAATTTGAAGAACATACTGTATATCCAAGAAAACATACATAAACAAATTGCATCAATATTATATCTCTCATATTCTTCAATGTTAGAAGTAACATACCATGTCAAATAAAATCTTCGAACATGTCCAAACTAGGAACTATCATCCTCATATCAGTCGGTACCAAAATACTTCTGCCCAAAGTGGTTGGGTGCTACAGGATGCAGCTCGGAGGTGAGGATCTTTAGACGGGGTACGTATTCCACGACTGCTTGCGCGGCCGCCGGAGTGCAGAACAGATTCGAGAGGATAATACGTTCTTCTTTAACACCGTGTTGTGTTAAAACGTTTACTGCCTGTAAATATAAATACTATTTTAACATACTATATAAAAACTAGGCAGGCATGTCTGTGGCTCCGATGTGTACTGAATGGTTTTTAGGAACAATATATAGAAAGGTTAGGCTATACAAAAGCTAGATCAATTTAAAGCTAGAAAGAAACATTTACAAACCTGTTTGACAGTGTTGCCAGTAGACATGATGGGATACATGAGAAGAACCTGTCGACGTGCAATGTCCTCCGGGAACTTGGCGTACACGACGTGCGCCTCATGCGTGTCTGTGTCACTCTCTACAAGGATCTTACCAATGCGAATTGATCGGCAACAGTCCCGTAGACCCTGGAAAATAGAAGTAACGGGTTGAGTGCCACCAACTCAATAAGCAGAAAATGTTCTCTGGAAAAAATTTAATGTTAACCTGGATTATATGAACATTAACACAACCTTGGTTTATTCAGGTATTATTGAAACCTATTAAAATTAGTTGCAACCTCAACATAGTGCAATATTTGGTAAATACATTTTAAAAAGTTAGCTAGAATATCTTTTGCTTCATCTGATATGCATACAAAATTATTAATACACATTGAAACTTACTTGTTCCATGGCCTCCCCGGATCTCACTATAGATACTCCGCAGTTTCCTGCACCATATTTAAGTCCTTTGTAAAGTGCACCTGTTGGAGTGACCACTTCGCAATCAGTGAAGGGCAAGTTGTTTAAACTTTCCTCAATAACAAGACGAATTAGACGGTCAGCATAGAACTTGAAATCACTTCGTGTTGTGTTTCTGTGAAATTAATACAAAATAAATTAGCAAAAGTAATCAGGATATGTAACACTAACATGTAGAATTATCTGTTTATTTTACGGATAATTTGTTTGTTAAGCAAACAATAGCATTTTAAAACACCAGAAAAAATGACATTCACCTTGAAGTAAAGTAAAATAATTTGTCATTCACCTACATTGTATTTTACTTTTTCGTACTGTAGGACCTTAATTTTTATAAATTATGAGGACCTTAATTTGTATGAAATTATGTTTCAAAAATTTTAAGAAAATCGTTATTATTATTGTGATAATAAACAGTCGAAGTTTATACAAGTGCAATAACTTAAGCTACGTAAATCGTATCTTACATACATGTTATATTGATTGATATGTATAAATCGTACGACTTATTACGTCCGTAAGATAAGGAACATAACATTAATAAAATATAATAAACAAAGTAATCTCATCGATTATAACCTCACTTACTTATCCCTCAAGATAGTTTGCAGTTCTTTGATGTTGTCGTTGGAAGGAAGGAGACTCAGGCTGTCTCCGAACTGTTCTTTTACTTCCTCGGCACTCCATGGTCTGATATCAGTGTCAATCAACTCCATTTTCGAAAAAAATGTACTAAAAACGTGAATTGGAAAAATAGGAAACTCGAAGCAAGACGTCAAATATTGTCAATGTCAAATCAAAACAACCAGCTGTTTTACGTTTCGTTCGGAATTCGTATATAAAATTTCCAAATAGTATTTTTCTATAAAAGGTTTTGTTTTAATTGATATAAAATAATAATATATTCAATTAACAGTTTGAATTATTTTAATTAATTTTATACTTCCTAAACTGCAGACGAGAACAGTGACAACAAATGTTTAGGTCTAAACGTTTATTCGCAACTGAAGGTCGACAAGTTCAAATGGCTATGAAGATTGCTCTCACCTGTTTCTTGCAACCTTCCCCATACTATCACCGCTTAACATCAGATGGGATCGTGGTCAAGTGCATATTTATTCATTATTACTGTACGGTACTTATCACATGTTCATTTAGTGTAGTGCCTGGTGCAGTACGTCAATATTTCAGTGATATATGACGTAGCATGTAATTGAGTAGACTGTGAATATTTCCGTATACGATAATTCTTCTATGATTTTCATCTCAATTAGGACTTAAACAAGTAAATAAAACAATGAAATATAATGCGTAACGCTTTATTTGCCCAGAAAATACAAATCAATGAATGCAAGAATAATTCCACATCTCAAGTTACAGTCACCCCGGGAGCGACCGTCGCTCCAGCGTATCCGTGTAACCTCAAAACATCCATCACAAAAATATATTATTCAAAATATACCTTTCCATTTGGAACTGTGACCGCTAATTCTTTCCTAGGCTGATAACAACAGTTTCTTATAAATGCGAGAGCTCGACCATGTAAATAATAAATAAATGCTATGATGACTGCGATGTTATTTGTTCTGTATATGTTTTATATATTACGAATAATCCCTTTCCATATAAACAATGCCCTTCGTGGTATGATTTAATATTAAAATTAAACAAAATCGTTTACAAAGGATCTTAATGACTCTACGAGGAGTATTCGAGTTGTTATATAAATACGCAACAGCCTATAAGTCTAGTAAACAACTCGAGTAACGCTATGTGAACAACAGCGGCAAAGCGATAAGCGAAAACTTAATAGAAATGGATCAATAAATTCCAGTCGGAAAATAAACACAGCCCGTTTTCAAAACACGGCTTAAAATTTATCAAAAACAAAACATCAAAATCAAATAAAGTGGAATCATCATTATTTACATATACGTGTCGTGTAAAATATTAACAAAAATGAAATAAATTAGAGCGTAAAATACTACGATAATTCGTATAAAATTGTCGAAACATGTCCGTCTTTTACGACGTATGCAATAACTAGCCAGTCCACATCACAAACAACTTGGTGACTTTAAGAACGGATGACTTCCCAACCCCTGATTAATGTCCATGAAATTATAATGATTTTAAATTAAATACCAAACCTGAAATCAAATAAAGGTAGCGGCTTACGCTCAAACTATCTAAAAACTTTCAACTTCTCTATGATCTAGATAAAATTGACCTGTCCTAAATCTATACTAAATTCTGCCTATGTCACTGACACGTGAATCAATATCTGTTTTGTAACGGAACAATATTCTATACAATCTAAAAATTGTTATTCGAATTAACCACGTGATAATTAATTTTACTATTACAACTTTATTTACATATTTTAATATTTTATTCAGAGGCTTTGTGTACTTCTATTTATGGCGTTAACAAACTTAACAATATTTTGAACCCTTATATAATTTGCATTTAAAAATGGAACACGAAAATAAATTCACTAGAATGCTTACATATAAAAATGTTTATAATTTTTAGGTTACTAACATGTTAGTGTGTTTAGTTAACAAACTAATATTAATTTTAAAGACAAAATCAAAAGTTTTCATTACAAAAATGAGCAGTTTTATTCTAAAAAGGTCCTAATTAACCAATTGGCTTTTTTGACAATCATAATTTTATGTCTACTATTTTAACACATTTTGCATTTAGATTTGTACTAAAAAGTTGACATTATCGAAGTCCATTCTGACAGAAGTTTGTCCATTACGACCTACAGTCACAAACACTTATTTGGCCCGATAACAGAAGCTAGTTCTGACAGAAGTTATTCCAATTTAGAAATAGAAAATGACAAGACGGCTACATTAGTATCACTTTTCATTATCGGGCCAGAAAAGTCTATCGAACTGTAATACCATTTTGTACGTTATCCATATGAAAAAGCTTATTTCGTTAAAGAAAATGACAATATTTGCGCTTGTCTTACAAGCGCCGTAAAGGATAAGAAACATTCAAGGAAAGGCCTGTCCACACCATCATTGGTGAGTACATTATTGCTTATATACTTGCTTATATATTTGTTTATGACGTCAGAGACCTCTCTTATAACAATGCGGTGTTGCCGCGACAAGCGAATGTCATCAACTTTGCGTTCTGTACAGGTCGATATAAACTATTACTTTACAAATAAATTATTTTAAAAATCACTCTTCCTTTTATTTAAGTAATAAATACATTATACGATAACTAAGATGATTTAGCTGGCACTTAGGTTACTCTTCTATGTATAAATTAAAAAATATGAATACATTTTAATATAATTATACTAATAAAATTTTATATAAGAGCAAAAATCACCCGCAATTTATTCCTAAAAAAACAAAGTTTTGTTTAAACGAAAACACTGAAATGTAGAATTCAACTACACTAATTTGTACCTTAATTTTATCACACTAAAGCAAGGAGGTTAAAATTAACTTTCTTTTTTAATAAAGTCAAATATGTAACCTACGTGCCAGCTGTATTCAGCGCTCTAAAGCGTCATATTCTCTGCGACATGTCGCGGAACTAAAGCTCGGGCCACACCGAGCGGAAGTGATGGTGCATGGAATGTAACGCGCGAAGTGTGTCCCCGCCCTCACTGCTTGCAGCGACCGGGATATACCGGGTACATTTTTGTTCTTACTTTAAAATCACTTTTTTGTAATTGCTACTATTTAAGCTATTTTTAAATTTTTCATTATTTTATAACCTATGTATAACATCATATTTTTGAAAAATCTCACAATTCAAATTTTTTTATGAGGATTCGATAAAAGGAAGTTATTGCATAACGAAGTTGCTAAAATTAGCTTGAATATTAAAACACATTAGTTTCTAGCCAACTAAGTAAATTCATAATAGTATTTTGACCTTTTACATTTGTAAGTATCTTTTAGATTCGGCGACATCAAATTATTAAACGACTTGCATCAAATGTCATCGATTTTAAAGTAAAGATTGAGTTTCTCAACTGTGGAAAAATCTTCGCACCTTTAATCGCATAAGAACGCATGGCCCAAGCGTTACTCCCACGAGACGCATCACTAAAACTATAAAATATCACAAGACTAGTGGACGACGCCGTTCTGTCTCTGTCTGGGATAGCCGTTGTACTCGATCTTAGTGGTTTCCTTGATAGGTTCGGGGATGGGTTCGATTTTGGCTTTCTTGCCTCGCTTCGGTGCGAGGTATGCTTTATAGAAGAAATGTGCGAATAGGACAAAGTATGAGAAGTACATGGCCATAGATAGCTTGATGTTGATCTGACTGATGTGGCAGGAGTGCGGGGGCGCGGTGGCGAGGTAGTTGTGAGCCCAGATGTTGATGGCGCAGCCGACTATCATCTGGGACAGCTGCAGGAACGTGATAGTCATAGCCAGCATCCGCGGTGGGTATTTTCCCATACTGACGAGTGCGTAGTATGAGTACATAACACTGGAAAATAAAATAATTACTGTTAGATATTTATAATTTATTTCTAAATTACAAAAGAGGATATTTATGGATAAAAACTTAATTCGATATAACATGAAATTAAATCTATTTATTGATTAGTCTATTAATTTTAAATGGAGAGCTTCAGAAATTATATTAATAATAAATTTAACATCAAAATTATGTTGAGATTCAGTCAATTTTACACTAGTAAAGCGAAGTATTTGTCATCGAGAAACTGTGCGGTGGTTCTAATGATTCACAACTTGTAACCGCGTGCTAAATTAATTTCCATTTATTATATTATTACTACTCTTATAGGTTAATTATATGTTTAACTTAAGGAATATTATTACCACAATTAATCGTTTTTATTACAGGAAAACTGACAACAAATACTGTTATTATAAACTATCCTTTACTTATAACATACATGTTTAGAGCTCAATTAAAAATTTTAATAGACTTTATAATGAATGAATATTAAATTATAAAAACATGTTTTCAACAAATAAATGCATCGATGTGTAATCTAAAATATTGTTTTAATAATAAAATCATCAGAATCTAGGAAATACTAGTTTTAAGGAATGATTTAAACTGTATTGTAACAATTTCAAGGCAAAACTTGCAAAAGCTATTTCTATCGTTGGAGATGCGCCTACAAATTGGTCTAAATATAATTATAGACTCACTCCCCACGTGGTACAATCATATAGTCTAAGTGTTCGCGTATTGCCGCAAATGTTGATTTTATAACATTGTAGTGATGAATGAAAAAAACTAAACATTTATAATTCAAATTGTTTACGATCGTTATTAGTTTCTTTGTTCCGCGAAATTAAATAATCGCCATAATACTGTCAATTTCTCGATGTAAGCAGATAATTGTTATCAATTAGCTTACTCTTTACTTACAATGTTACATTAAATTATACTTGCTACGCTACATTTTTTTTTAATCGTCGCGTTTAACTGTACTAACACGTAATTAAATGCGAGGACGTTAGAACAAAACCTTCGTATGTTTAAAATTATAAAAGGTACATGTCCATTGGCCCGCGCCGGACCAAAATGTAAGGCCGCAACGGATTTTGGTTTGCTTTTTATTATTTTATAAACTGCGCATAGCATCAAGACATGATGATTGATGATAAAAACTTGGAAAACCTATAAAGTAATAGTAGATTAATACAAGCTTCTAATTAAGAGTATGATGTTACATAAAATAGGATAAAAGTAACTCACCTATGCACACAGTAGTTCATAACGACGAACCAGCGCGCGGATGAGGTGTACTCAGTGAAGGAGAACCAGGTGTATAGCAGGACGGTGATGTGGTGGTACCAGTGCAAGAAGATGAGCGGCTTCTTACGTAACACGATCAGCACTGTATCACCCAGCTCCGGCACTTTCGACAGCACGAACATCGTCGTCCAGAAACCAGACACCTTGTCCTGCTCGATGAAGCTGCAATGGATAAAATAAAATAATTATTTCTTAATGTTCGAATCTCTTGTCGAAGTCGTTATGTAGGAAAGGCGGAGGACGGCATTGGGGAAGGTGTATGTTCAGCGATGGACAGAGAAAGGCTGATGATGATGTTTCGAATCCCTACTCTACCAATTTATAGTTATTCGTATTAGCAATCGTCTAAAAATATAAATCCAATGTCAGTTTTTAGGGGGAGTATATAAAATAAATTTGATAAAAATAGAGATAGGAAAAGACTTTCTTTATCCACCAGACGAACGATCACCTTTTACAAATTGAATGTTACTGATATTAATTTTAAATGTTTTTTTGTCCCGTGTTTAGAACTTGTACAGAATGCCAATCGAATTATAAAGATTTAACTTTTCTATACATAACGCGTGTTATCTAAGTCATAAACGTGCAAAACCTACACGATCGGCGTTTGCGTGTCATATTATACTATTTATGTTGAATAGTGTACTTTACAATTTGTATAATGCTATAATAGTGAGCAAGGGAAAAGAAACGATACAAACAGATGTAAAGTACACGAAGTAACCGACCTTGATATATCGAGAAAAATTTAAGTGGAAGTTTACTACGAAGCAGTTATTTAATAAACTCATTAATAGTTGTCAGCGATAAAATTATCATTTTTGAATACTTCGATAATGAGGAAATATTTATAATTAATTAGTACACGATATTACAAGCATATTTCCGCTTAGTACATGAGGTACATGAATGTTAGCACGAAGTTAAAATCACAGATAATATTCATCTATAATAATCAAACCAAAATAAGTAAAATGGCATTAAAACTCTTCCGTATTATCCCTTGTTTTAAAAAAAAGTTAAAGTAAACATATTAAATATCCATATGGCAAGGAAAAAACTAAATTGTCACTTGTATAGCGCTTGATAATACAAAAACAAGGAGGAAGTTTAAATATACGCTCATTATTCGAGACGAGAACTTTCCGACTAAAAATGCTTAAAAAAACAAACGAACTTTTATTAAACTTTTCCTTTGAAACAGCCCGAAGTTTATATGAAAATTTCGGTTACGTCTGTTTAGATAAAAGATGGTAATAGCCAAATGCCTTGTAATGGAATAATTAGGAATTGTCTTACATAATGCTCTTAATATATAAATGTATATAATATACTATATAATATATAAATTGTTTGTGATTAGTATTATGTGACCTCAACAAAACCCATCTTTTTTAATACAGCATAAAAAACCAAAACTTATTATGGAAACCAGTATTTTCATAGTATTAACACGGAACTAACAGTTCAGTTTACTATCTTCTTTAAAGCTTAGATATGTGACTATAAATTAAATAAGTTATTTGCGGGAACTCAAAAACTACTAAACTGATTTTGAAAACTTTCTCATACCTACGAAGTAATATCACCAAGACCGACCAATCACTAAAATATGATTTAGTCTGGATGAATTTTGTTACCATTTATCATCGAACATGCCATCCTTATCTGTGCAATGTCGAAAGTTTATAAATTGTTTTGGCTATTGAGAATCTAAACATAAGACAATCTAATAGTTTTATTAAAAAAAAAGATAGAAATTTTGCAACGTTCAAGTGATGAATCATAAACATGATACAAGATCAGGCACCATATAGGGCCAGTTAGAATAACCAATTCGATCTGCTTGAATTTAGATCTTTAAGTCAATATCTCACGAGGCTAGTATCATAATATTATTTGTATTACTTGGCGGAACAAATTGTCTTTATGGTCGATGAGCGTATAATAAGAATGATTTTATCGTTAAAGTTTATTTCACAGTTTTTATACGACTTATATAACTTGAATAAAAGAGAAGTAAATAAGTATGGTTCATATCAGAAATTGCTGCGATTTGACAAATTACCAACAGTATATTATAATATAAGCATTAACATCCAAAAGACAAATACAGTTTGCGTGATTATCTGACTAATACAGACACGCAAACAACATTAGTTTTTTACTACGAAATGTTTTGTACTGAAGGCATTTTAAAATGTCATTGAAAAGCCTCTTAAAGAAGATACCCTAATTTGCTTATATGTCTCGTCTCAAGCCATTGCTATCTTCTTTCATGGCATGGCATGGCATAGTCGCACCAGTGGAAATGGTTTTTTTTTTGTTTATAGAAATAACAATTCGGAAATTTTATACTATTATACAAATACAATAAATAAATTAGTAACCTAAAAAAAATTCTTCCGTACCCAAATTACGGCTACGGAGTACGGACATCCATTAGTAATATATTTTTATAAACTAACAGTTCCTATTTAAAAATCCCTTACTATTTTTAGACATTATTAGTTAGAATCCTTTGGCGCGAATTGCGCGCTTTTGTTGCAAAGTCAAGTGTCAGAATGATTAGTGAGGGGACGTAAACGTCGACATTTTAGTAAGGCTAGTGTTGTGCCAGTACACCGGTTCTTCCACGTGTAATTAATAGCTTTAATACAGAAAACGTCACAACCTGTCATTTAAATCAATATAAGTTTTCCATACGTAAATCAATATTTATTTCAAATACCGGTTTGAAAACGTAATAGGCATAACGAGATTTGAACTAGTCTATTATAATTTAAACAAGTTGTATTTGCGTTAACTTTGTATAAACAATGACAAGAGGCTAGTTTTATAGCTTCGGCAGCGAATTAGCATAAAAATATAAGACATCTGGTCAAATTTTAAAAAAGATATATAAAGCCAAAGGCATAATTTTATTTGTGAGTTCTTTTGATACAAGAATGATGTATAAAATGACGTCAACTTTTAAAATTAGACATTTTCGTTAGGTTTTGTTATAAGTCTTTCTCTGTCACGTTTTGTTTTTAAAGACGGTTACCCCAACATCGGCTTTTAGTATCATCATTGTACAAACGTACAAACTTGTCAGTTACATATATTTGCATGAGATATGACGTTTTATGTTCGAAGGCTAAAATTACGTGAACGATTCCCCGGCGACCGAGTGACCGAGCAAAGTTAGAAAGCGTATTGCGCAACTTGGAAAATCTGCGCGAGCGCGGAATGCCAAAGCGAAAGCGAGTTTAATTGAGGCGACGAAATATCGATATGTCGAGGTTTTGATGCATAAGGGACACTATTTCTGGATATCATATGTCTGTATTATCCTTGAAAAAATTAGATAACACCAACAATAAAACAATTGTTTAATTTATTTCGATCGAGAATTATAATAATCATGAATGATTCTTATTATCACGTAATTGTATAGAAAAATCTATTAACTCTGCCTACCTCAACTTATCTTTTCTTACATACTTAAAAACTGAGGAATTTGTAATCTTAAGATATCAGGAAGACTATTAAAATGTATTAATTTAGATAAACAACATGAAGTTTGTCAGTTTCCTCCATCATCTGCATAGCTAGTTTGTTGAGTTGAGGAAGTTGTGTGGGTTTGTATGTTAGTGGTACACGTTTATGTTATGTAAAAGTTGTAGCATTGAGAGCAAAAGTTATCAACATTACGCATTATTTCCGGATAACAGGTGTACGATCTTATCCAATCTACATATAAAACATCATAGGTCCCCAATCATTCTCCTTCAAAAAAAAAACAACAATATATTTTAAAAGGAGATTCTTCGGTAAAATGGTTCATTTAAAAGCTACAGTTAACTTTGGTTAACATATAGATAAAGATCAATCCAAAAATGCAAAAATAAATACTCAAAACGAAGTACATAATCTATCACAGCCTCACTAGCAACAACTAGGCGTGACTAACGAGTGACAAGACGTTACGTAAGTAAGCATATGTAGAAAAAATAAGAGAAAACTGGATGCTGTTTGCCCCAGTTGTCAGTTCACGTACAACTGTTTCCGAAATGTAACTGTGGGGTTTCATTGACTAACCAATCATTGCATTTTATTTTGATTACATCAGTATATATATGGGGGGAATCTTTTATCTTAATTCCATGTTCACATTATCATGTACTGTTACAAACTACACAAAAATTACACTTAGATAAAATGTTATTTGCATTGCCGAAATAATAATGACTAAATTTTGATGGAATGTCGAAGAAGTTAGGTTTTAATCGATCTGGTTTATTTTCAGAAAATTAATATTTGCTTAAAATACTATTGGGTCACCAAAATTTTAAGCATATAGAAAAATTATACATAATATTACAATAAAGTTAGAATTCAATATGTAAGCATTGAAATTCCATTAAAGTCAGTTGTAAATGGTGGCCAACGTTATATTAAAATTTTAGTAAAGGTAATAAAAATAAATTGGGGTCGAATGGGTCCAAAGCCCTCCTCCTTACAAAGCTAAATTAAATTAGTTAACCGCTATTGGTTTTTAATACCAACAAACAATACAACATAGGAAAATGAAAAGAAAAAAACAAAAAAAATGATTGCAGTGGTTACATATTTATCAAAAGACCACGTTTGATTCGTAAAATGTGTTTTAATTTTCTAAATCGTTATTGAAATTGGTTGACGTATACATTATTATACCAAGAATCAAAGTGGTAGTATTAAAAGCTATTTAAGGCTGCCTTACTATACTTACCTTCTTCAAACAAGGAAAATAATATAATGATACAGCAAATGACATCTGTCGTATGATTTATTAGACTGGGTTTGCGGTGACATTGCCATATGCCTTTATTATGTGATGTGCCTCAATGCCGTGTAGTGATTTTCTTATGTATTGCGTTATATGTGAAGCGTTAGAATCTTATACATTTTTGCCATTGTTTGGTTGTTGGTAGATATCATCAGCTCACTATACGTCCCCATCAAGGCTCGGAGTCTACCCTAAGTTAAAGGTGACAAGGCCATAGTCAACCACGCTGGCCCAGTGCGGGTTAGTTGCCTTCATAAACATCTTTGTATTTTTACGCAGATGTGTGCAGGTTGCATTATGATGTTTTCCTTCACCGCAAGAACGTCAAATTAATATACATATGTAA